TTCGACATCTTATGCGAACCGTGAGGGGCAACACTGTCTCAGGCGACGGTCCCTCCTCATCCTTCTTCTCCTTCTCCTCCTCTTCTTCCTCCTTCTCCTCCTCCTCCTCCTCCTCCTCCTCCTCCTCCTCCTCCTCCTCCCCCTCCTACGAGGAAGGAGGCGCCAGAGAGGGAGATAGCGCAGGGCGAGAGGGGGAGGAGGCGGAGGAGGGCAGGGGAGCCACAGCAGGAGGCGGAGGAGGAGGAGGCGGAGGAGGAGGAGAGCCTCTTCTTCGGCCGAGCCCCGAGGGGGCACTGCGTCCGGGCGGGCGGGGGCGGAGGCGCGGCCTGCGATGGCCCGCGGGGCGCGGGGGCACCGCGCTCCGCGGTGAGCTCGAGAGGGCTCTCGTTCGCCAGCATGGCGCCGTCGAGCCGGGCGAGTCAGAGGGCTCGCGCGCATCCTTCTTCGGCCTGCTGGTTCAAGGAAGGTCCCCGCTGGGCAGAAGAAGCTGGTCGAAACGAGAAGTCGGAGGGCGTTTGTGAAGTAGATTGGGTTCCCGCCCGCCCCCTGAAGAGGAGGGCAGAAGGAAAACATCTCGACTCTCGAAGCAGGAGGGCGGCAAACATCTGGATGTTCAAACATAGCTACTTTCAACGACTGGCGTGTACCAAAAGCACACCATTCGCGACAGATGGCACGTGGTCGTTGGTCTTGTGGCAGGTGTGGTAGTTCGGGTGGAGCTCAAGATCACAAATGAGGGTCGAGGTGCACGATGGCATGGGCTATCCTTCGCTGAAGGCAGCAAGATGAAGGAAACTACCTAGCAGATCATCAACGGCAGAGTGGCGTAAACAGAGGCATTCGCGACTCAGCATGGCAAGTCTCGATCCCAGCCGATGGGAAGAGATATGGCACGACACAAAAATACCATGTATTCAGAATCCAATATGTTGGCCGAATTGATTGGAATGAGGGGGCCGAACGGTCATTCATTGTCCCTGAGTGCGTGGCTGAAGTGGGGATCCGTGGTGAGGATTATGCTTGTTAGGTTATTCCGTTGTTGTTGTTTGTTTGTTTGTTTGTTTGTTTGTTTGTTTGTTTGTTTGTTGGCGTCGTCCCACCCGCGACCCACCCCGCGACACACCCCGCGACCTACCCGCGACCCAAACCCCGTGACACACCCCGCGACTCACCCGAGACCCACCCGCGACCCACCCTGCGACCCAACCCGCGACCCACCCAACGACCCACCCCGCGACCCACCCCGCGACACACCCGCGACCCACCAAACTACCCACCCCGCGACCCACCCGCGACCCACCCGAGACCCACCCCGCGATCCACCCTGCGACCCATCCGCGACCCACCCGCGACCCACCCGCGACCCACTTGCGACCCACCCGCGACCCAACCCGCGACCCACCTGCGACCCGCCCGCGACCCACTCGCGACCCAACAACCGCGACCCATTTGCGACCCACCCGCGACCTACCCACATCGGTTTAACAAAAAAATCGGCGCCTGCGGCGGGCTCGTCGTCATAGTGAGGGGGCCGAGCGGTCATTCATTGTCCCTGGGTGCGTGGCTGAAGTGGGGATCCGTGGTGTGGATTCTGCTTGTTGCGTTGTTGCGCTGTTGTTGTTTGTTTGTTGTAGTCGTCCCACCTCCACGTATTACTCCCCGCCCTCTACCTCGCCCCTTCCTCCTCCACCCCCTCGCCCTACTCGTGCTGTTGTTCTTCGTTTCGTTGGCCTCGCGCCTATCGTTTGCGGATCCCCATGTGAAAAATATGTTCTAACCCCGCGGGTTGGGCGTCGGCGCATGCTCGTTGGCTTCCGAGATTTGGCGGCCGCGCGCCAAATCCATGGATCGCTGATCCATGTTTGCGCGCCACCGACAAGACCTGCGCAGAAGTACTTTCAGTTTCCATCGGCGGCGCCCGCCACGGCAGCGGCTTCGAAGACCCGTCGCAGATCGTCGGAAGGAGCACTGCCAATGGCGCCAGGTGACTGCGCCGGTCGCCCGGGAGCGGGGAGGCCCACGCCGCGCGAGCAGTGGGGGCGAGCGGCCCCAGGAGGTGAGTTGCACTGCGACGGCTACCGCATGTCCTTCTTTATGCTGCCAGCTAGGAGCCACCACCCCTTCAGATCTCTCGGCTTTGGACCCTTCTCCGATGGAGATGGCCAGCGGCCTCTCGAAAGTTCTTTGCTTACGGGGACGTGCTGATAATGCTCTTATTGCACTTCATTATACGATTTCTGGGCTGGGGCATGGCGTTCGGGTGGATGAGGATATCCACGGTTCGGACTCAGAGCTGGAGAAGTGCGCGGCTGTTGACGGACCTCTCACATGTCGCATGTCGCCCCCCAGGCACAGATGGTGGAACGCGTCATGATGGCCGTTGTATGGATCTTGTGGTTAGCGAACCAGGTGATTCAGATCAGGTCGTTGTACCCGAGTCCACCGCCGGTAGACGATGGCGCTTTGCCAGCTTCACCACGAAATCTGCAACCCGCAGGTGATCCACAGACTGTGCGAGCACCGTTTGCGCGCCAGTGTGCGATGGAGGTACCTACGCCCTTACACATGGAGTACGATCTCCAACCTTGGCACATTGTCTTCTTCGTTATCTGCCGACGGTGGCGCTGCATGAGCACGTCGGCCGCGCGCTGCGCAGAGTGGCGTCTCTGCAAGGACGACGCAAGGGAGTTATTGTTTCTCCGATGGCAGCCACTGGCCTGAGGGGCGCCAAGCCTCAACATTTGCGCGCTCCAATGTGGTTCGCCATCTTCAGCTTCCGCGCAACGCGTGCATCAACGGGATGTTTGAGAACTTAGACCAATATCACACAAGCAGGCGCAATCGCTCTATGAGATGGACCTTGCGAGAAAGAGGCGCACTGCACGTGTAGGGTATACTCGGACAAAGGTCTTTCGCACTGCGGTAGCGGGTGGCAGAGGTCTCAGTGAATTTCCTGATCAACCAGTGGAACCACCTGTTCATGATGGTCACGACGACGAGTCCGATCTGGCAACGAAAAACAGAGTTTCATCTATACTAGCCCCGTCAGCCGCAGCGAACTCGACTTCGGATCCTGGGTGAAGGGAGACCCGTATGCAACCACTGAGTGTGTGCACGTTCATGCGCTAAATCATCAGCTGATGGAGGGTATTGTTCAGGCTATTGCGGATGGTGACACCTCTGGCCTACTCATGGACTCGCCCCTAATTGTTGGAGGCTTGATGAAGGACGAACAGACGGAGGGGGCACCACATATCTCAGAGGGAGTTGGACACCAAAGCTGAAGCCCAAGCGGCCAGAACGGTTTTCTGGGAGATCGAACGATTAACGATTATTCATGATGTTGCATTTGATGCCCATGGCTTTTAACACAGGTGTGCGTTGTAGGTCCATGGGTGATCTCGCCCCAGTACAACTGGCAATTTCATCATGCAAAACGGTTGTCGAACACTTTGTAAGCCTGGGATTTGTACGCTGCCGCGTGGATCAGAACATCTTTGGTATCAACGATCTTGCTCCATTGGAAGTCTTTTCAGTGCACGATGTGTGTTGACACTCTTTTGGCAGCAGCAAGGGGCGGACACGCTCTCGGACCGAGCATGCAGTGACAAGGACTTCTGAACCAGCATCCTGGACTGCGTCGGCTGCTGCGTGCCTGCGTGTGTCGCCTATTTGCGGTAGCAGGTGCAGCTAACTGACGGTAGGGGAGAGCTGGGGTTGAGGAGTGTGGAGGTGAACGGATCAGGGATTGTTGCTGATGTGTTCGGGGTGATCGTCGTGCGTGTTGAGACCCATCACCGATCCTGTATAGCCCGTGTCGTGGCCAACTCAACATGCTGGACGGCTACAAGCGCAGTTGTTTTCGGGAGCGGTGACGTGGAAGCCAGAACTCTCTCCTATGAGATGATTGTCTCCATGGTCCTCAGCAGGCCCCTTGTGACGCACTCTCTTAATGTTCGTTTCTCATGCTGGTTCCCCTGTGTATCGTCTCGCCTTGTCCTAGCTTGCCTGTGCGCGCGGTCCCTTGCACATTGTGGCCACCTCGCAGACAAGCAGCAATAGAACTGGTGCCTCGCCGATTCGTTGCGGAGGCTTCCGCACCGTAATAGGGGATCAGCGGCACCCGTGGGGTTGGCTCCCGCGGGGCTGCGAGATGGAGCCCTACTTCTGTTCTCTCCATCCATAATTCCGCCCTGGTCCTCTCGTTGTCCTTGCGCGTATTTGCTTGTCCACCAATGAGTGTCTTCCTCATCGTGTGCTGTTCTCACCTTGAATCCTTGTGCCATGTGCTGTTGCCAAGTTCCCTTGACCTCGTTTCGTGTTCACTTGCGTCAGGTAATGTGGATCAGCTTTGTGATATGGGAAGTGGGTGGTGGTAGGGAATGGCACCGCGAGCTGACATTATTTCTCTCGGCGCCCTTTGAGTTTCTAGACGCGGCGTTGGACTGGCGGAGGTAGGGAAGTCGAGGATGGAGAATTGATGGGGGACTTGGTGGCTTGCTCTCTCGATGTCCGGCACTGCCCTGTGTTGCCTGGGGGTGTGCTCGGGCGACCTCGTCCATACGGAGCTCATCTGCAAGGCCCCTGTCCTGCATGCCCGCGCTCGGCGGCCGAGTGCGGGCCCACTGACGCCGCGGGCTTGGCGCCCCCATGGCTCGGCAAAGAAAAAGGGGAGGAGGAGGAGGAGGAGGAGGAGGAGCGAGCGGCGCGAGGGAGCGGGGGGAGGAAGGACGGGGAGGAACAGCAGGAAGAGGAAGAGTGTAATGCGCCGGAGGACCCCAGACATCGGGCTGCTCCAATTCGTTCGATGCGCGTGGGCCCCAGAGGTCTGGACCACTTCCCCAAGGCCGTCCTGTCGCCCTGAATCTTTTTCCCGCGATCCCGAAGCCCTGCGAAGGCCCCTGGAGGCCGAAAACGGCCCGATGTTTTCCGGAGCGTCGAATGTCTGGGGAGGAGGAGGGAGGCGGGGTCGATGTCCCCCCCCCCCCCCTGGAGCGCGCCCAGAAACCGTACGGCGGCTTTACCGCGGCCCGCGGCTGCTTGGCCCTCGGCTCGCCGCTGGCCATGCCCGGGGCCGCCGTGCTGGCGACCCGGGGCACGGAGGCCGCGCTCTGCAGCTGCGGGATATGGCATGTTGCTCATTTTTTGACTCCCTTTGGGGGCAAGCATGCGCGGCGCGGTGCCCCCCCTCCCTCTTCGGACGAGGAGCACGACAGGGAGCGGGAGGGAAGGGGGAGAGGGGGAAGAGGAGGAGGGAGACGAGGAGAAGAGAAAGGAGGAGGCGGAGGAGAGGGACGAGGAGGAGGAGGAGGAGGAGGAGGAGGAGGAGGAGGAGGAGGAGGAGGAGGAGGGGGAGGAGGGGGAGGAGAAGGAGGAGGAGGAGGAGGAGGAGGAGGAGGAGGGGGAGGAAACGGAGGGGGAGGAGAAGGAGGAAGAGAAGGAGGAGGAGGAGGAGGAGGAGGATGAGAAGGAGGAGGAGGAGGAGGAGGAGGAGGCGGAGGGAGAGAGGGTAGTATGGTATGGGTTTGCGCTAAAAGTGTGGTCCAGCCCAAACTATCCGAGCTCGGCTTCCGACTCGCACCTTTCAGCGCTGTCGTTCTCGACTCGCTCCAGGGACTGGCGGCCAAGGTAGCGGACTTGCTCTAGCTGGGGAGGCAAAGAGGGAGGAGGGAGACAGAAGGCGGGGGAAGAGAAAGGCGTGAGGGAAATGTGTTTTTGCTCTTATGATGTGCTTGCTTTCAAAATGCTTGGAGAAGGAGGATGGAGACTACGAGGACAGATAAGGAGTAGGAGGGGGATGAGGAGTAGGCGTGAGGGGGATGAGGAGTAGGATGGATGAGGAGGGAGGGGGGTGGCAGGAGGGAGGGGGGAGGAGGAAGAAGAGGAGGAACGTCCTCTTGAACCTGATAGGGCCCCTCTCCTCCGTCCATTCATCTCCAACCGTCCTCCGCATCGGTCCTCCGTTTTTGTTGAATAGGCTTACGGGTGCGAATTCGAACTCAGTGCCAAAAACTAGTACGGGTCACCCCCGCTACTCTGTCATTGAACGATCGTGTGTGGTCGAATGGATATTCGGTATGATGGGTTCCTACTATCCTTGCGTACCCATGTGTGTTCCTACGGTTTCCTATGGTTGCCCATTTGCTCACATGCATGTATATCTATTCCGTAGGAGTGTGTTCCAAAATGGAGTCCTGCGGGTGGAGTCCAATGACGTCCGATGGGAAGTCAATGGCGCCCGATGGATTCCCACTGTGTTCTATGAAGACCTATGGCAATGGAGTCCACCAGCGTCCACCGGAGTCCACTTGGCCAATAGAGTCTTGCGAGTCCAATGGGGTCCCACGGAATCAATTGGAGTCGTATTGAGTCGTCGTCTGCAGTCAAATGGAGTCAAATGTTGTCCGCTGAGGTCCATTGAGACAAACAGGGTCCAATGAAATCGTAGGGTCCAGTGGAATCCAATGGAATCGTCCGGGTATTCGAAATAAAATCCAGTGGAGTCCTGTGGAGACCCATGGGGTCCGTTGGAAAAAAGAAGTGGACAGCAAACGATATATCCCAAACTGGGGCCCGACCAGGACGACTGCTTGGGATAAGAGGGGGGACAAGAAGCACGAGGAGTGACAGGCAAGGAGTGAGAGAGGAGCATGGACCGGACGAGCGAAAGCCGGGCGAGGCAGGAGGAGATGAGCAGCACGTGCCTACTCGCAGACGAGGACCAGGTCAAACGGGAAGCCTGGGAACCGGGCCTCCCCAAGCCGTGAGCCAGGATGGGGGCAACGCCCGAACGGGCAGGAGGAGGAGGAGGAGGAGAAGGAGGAGGAGGAGGAGGAGGCGGAGGAGGAGGAGGAGGAGGAGGAGGAGGAGCGACCGTACCAAGAAGGAACGAGACGAGGGCAGGCGGGCAAGACGCGAGAAGAGGGCAAGTGTCCGCGTGTCCGCTTGTCTCGTCTATGGCCGCATCGCATGCAGTGCAGCAGCTAGGCACTCAGTGCCTGTAGTGTAAAGAAGCGCGGCGCGGGGCGCGGCGTGCGTAATGATACGCAGTTTGTTGTAGAAGTGAAATGAAAGTGCTGTCCTGCGAACAGCTTCTGAAACTGTGTGCTCTGGGTTTGCGCGTTGCTCTGCCGTCCCTAGGCCAATTCGCACGAGGGGGTCCGAGGAGAGAAAGGAACGAGGTAACGCGAGGAAGTGAAGAAGGCGAGGACAGGTGAGGTAGTGGCCGAGACGGTCAGGGCAAGCTTCGCACCCGAGCAGACACGTGCGGCGCGGTCCAAATGGGAATCGGTGACTGGTCCACCATGCTCCCGCTAGCGTTTTAAAGACAGCCCAGCGGATGGCTGGAGCTTTCTTTGAAAGGTATTATGATAGCTCCTTCCAGCGGGTTGGTAGGGCTGGGGGGAGCACGATTTCTGGGAGAGCCGACGAGAGGCGGCGCGCTAGGGTCTCTGCGAACTTGTCGGGGTAGAGGGAGGCGTGGAGGACCGAGGCAAGAGTTCGCTGGACCCTAGAGCGGCGCGCTTCGTTGGTGGCAGCAGCGTGCTCGTCTGCAGCGGCTTGTTGCGTCGAGCGCCAGATGGGCAGTGAAACGTCGTGTGGCGGTTGACCGTCGGCGAGGTCTCGCCAGTATTCCACGATACCTGGACTTTTCCAAAAAACAGGCGAGATCGTGGCCCGAATACGGGCCTGCCCCAAATCCGCCAGAGACAGTTCTGGATTGAGCTGGTCCTGGGCCAGGACGAGAGCGCGATGCAGCGGCTTCCAGTCGGGAAGCGTGGCAGTGGCAGCGCGCCAGGCAGCTGCGAGTGAAAGCGCGACCAGTGAATTGGGGGAGGACGAGGGCGACCACGAGCGAGTACCGAGGAGGTCGACGAGGCGCCAGGAGTTGGGGGGTGCACGTAAAATTTTGCGCAGCGCGCAGCGTTCGTGCCGCAGAAATGTGGCAGGGAACGGGAAATATTGCGTGAGATACGATAGCACAGTTATAACACATGTGTTATATAACTTGATGCCAACTGAGGGGCCAGGCGCGCTCGCCGCAAGCTGCACCACCCGTGGCCAGTATGTGTCGAATGCGGCCTTCCATTGGATGTCTAGAGTGACGGCGGGACCGATGAGTACCCCATAGATAGCGGGCGTACTCGGCAATTTGAATGCGTTGCCTCTCTGGGACTAGAAATTTGAGCAAGCGCTGAGTGAGGGATTGCACGTCAGGTGAGAAGGCGGCCCACAAGGGCACAATCACTGTCTTCTGAATATGAAGTTCGAGTCCTGCGAGAGTAGCAATGGCCCGAAAAGGGGGAAGGAGGAAAGGGAGAGATCCAAGGCGAGCGAGGACAAGGCCCAAATCATCTGCGCAGGCCCCGAGCTTATTAGATCCAGGAAGAGTGTTTAAAATCTGGACGAGATGACGGATGGGGGGCATCAAACGCAAGGGCCCATGTTGATCCTGAAAGAGGACAGCCCTGAAGCACCCCAGAGCCGATTTCGAACATGTATTGAAGCTGGCCACCGACGCGGGCCCACGCCCCTGGAGAATGGCAAAGCGCGCGGATGACATTGAGATACCCTGGGGGAACTCCGTGAGCCGCCAAAGAAGCAAACAGGAATTCCCATCCTAAGGATGGGAAGGCGGCCTTGATATCGAAACTGACTAAGATGGGAAGGGCATCTAGGGCAGCTGGGGAATGGCCTGCTCTACGGGCTTCAGAATCTAGCGTCAGAACGTGTTGTCCAAAATTGCGGCCCTTTACAAATCCCTGTTGCGTGTCTACCGTTCTCTCTTTGACCATATCCACTAAGCCCATGTTCAAGACGTGGGCAATCAGTTTGGCGTCGCAGTTCTTTAGGGAGAGGGGGCGAGTGGCGCCTGGAGCACGAAATGCGGCATATTGGTCCTGGGGCTCATCACCTTTTGGAAGAAACGCGAAGACGGAATCGTTGAACTGAAACGGGGCCATTCCTGTTTCGAACATCTGCATCATGAGGTCATATAAGATCTGAGAGGAGCCTGGAGAGGTAGCCCATGCAGCATAAGGTATCTGGTCAGGGCCTGGGGCAGTGTGACGTACCTTACGTAGGGCTCTCTGAAAGTCCTGAAGAGCTGGAACCCGCAGGTCCGCGCAATCGAAGACGGGGAGGTGCTGGGCCAAGTGCGACTGGACCGCGTTGGGGTCCACGTTCTTGCTTGAGAAGATGGGCTGCCAGAACTTCTGAAGACCTCCGAAAATGCCCTCGGGTGAGCTGGTGGTGGGGAGGGCTTTGGTGGGTGTCCCCTCTTTCGGAATCCTAAGTCCTGCTAGGACGAGGCGACGACGAAATGGGTTCCAGGCCTGCGCCCGGCGCATGAGCTGCAACGCGGCCTTGCGGCTGCCGGCCTGGTCCATCTGCATCTCGGCGTGGGACTGGAGCTGGCGCTTCGTGGCGATGGCGACGCGTCTGTCATAGTCTGCGGTAACTGCAGCATCCATAAGCTTGATGTACCCGTCTCTGTTGATGAGCTCGGGCCCATTGTCGGTAAGGTGAAGGTGAGCGGCGCCAATGTCCGTCGCGGCCATGAGGAGTGCAGCCGTGTCTGAGTCTTTTCGCCATGCCGTCCGAGCAATGGCACGTAGCGTAGTAAGCCTCCCATGCCTCGCCCATCGGATTTGATCATGTAGGGTGGCTCGCTGTTGAAGATTACGAGTGAGGCGAGCCGCTTCTTTGATGATGAGCTTGTGTTGCTTCCAGGCTCCAGTTGGCGTGAGAGCTGCCGAGGCGATGTTGTCCTTCAGGAAGTTGAAGTGGCGCAGGTGCGTGGGGTCGTGGAAGATGAGCGGATCAATGGCCTGTTCCTCCTTCTGCGCCGCCGATGCGTTGACCAGCAGCAGGTGCAGGATCGCGTGGTCACTGAGGCCTTTATCTGATAAGGCAGCGCCGTCTTTGTGGATCTTGAGGTGAGCGTCAACATTCATGAGATCGATGCCCGACAGCGATGCGAAGATGCGGTCTATGGCGGTAGCCGCTTGTGTGTTGGCCGAGAAGTGCGTGGGCAGGTCGTGCGTAACTTCCGTGAGTGAGGCGA